TATATATCCTTTGTTGTCCCCATTTGAGCCTGAATAATTTTTCTTCTAATTCAACCTAACCAAGGATCACCCTCTATATTGGGGGGCAAGGTAAAGGATATTGGCTCACAAGAATAAAGATTGTCAATACAGTTTTATTACGAAGACAAGTTTTCATAAAGTCAAGAAAGCTTTGAACTACAAGGTATGTCAAATACAGAGTGCTTGAAGATCAATCCAATAAAGAATAATGGAAAATCTCCAAAATGCAAAAAGGAAAAGGAGGTGCTCAAAGCAATTGAAGTATTATACTCATCCAGCAAAGAAAGAAAAAAGGAAAATCCAGAAAAAAAAGGAAAAAAGAGGAAAAAAGAAAAAAGAAAAGAAAAAAGAAATAAAGAAATAAAGAAATAAAAATAAAAAAAACAAAAAGGAAAAAAAGAAAAAAATTGAATCAAGATGGGTGAATTATTGAGCCTCAAGTTACAAGGTTGATCAAGTACAAACAAGAAGAGCAAGAAATGCTGAAGATATGAGAAAATGGAAATGAATCCAAAATTTGGCAGTCTAGAGGGATCCAGATGATGGAAAAATCCCCAACAAAGCAGATCCAAGTTAAGCAAGGCAAGATTGATAGCATCAGAATGAATTGATCCTTGGTTTGATTACCCTTAAACACTTATTTGGGCCTTTTTATCCCTTTCTTTCGTAACCATAAGCCATGGCCTACGTTACGTACCTGAAAAGTCCATTTTAATCATACATGGATTTCTAAGTAAAAGAAAATATCTTTAGAATTCATTCCGCCTTTCAAGATTGATTTTTATTTACAAAAATTGGTTTTTAAAATCTTTAATGCATGATATGAAAAATGATAAAAGGGGGGTTCAAGATGTAAATAACATCTTGAAACCAAAGGAGGATTTGAGTTGAAAACCTAAAAAGGCGGCTCGAATATTGAATGATGCAACAACGACATAAGAGACGATCTTAAGCTCTTAATGAAGCACCACACATTTCAAAGACGTTCCTGAGATTCTGGAATCGAGAAGCATCTCTACAAGATGAACATAACAACCATTTCTTCAAGTTAGTGGAAGCCCGAAGCGACATACTGAACCAACTTGAAAGAACCTACTTTACCAAAATCAACATATACCTCAAATCAGTCAATAATTTTGACACTTGCCATAGGACTATGATTTTTGGATGATTTAAAAGTGTAGTTGATTTATTTGATATTCATTAAATTCATTGTTTCTGATTTGATTATCTTGTGAACATGTGATAGGCAACACTTTACAAAATTCTTTCATTCTTCAATAAAGAAAGGAGAAAAAACATTTTCAAACATGACAATCTCAAATGAAGAAGGTCCTTGAAGCAACTGTTGCTTATTCTACCTCTGTTGTAGAAAAAGAATGAATGAGGCTAGAATAATGAAGCACTTCACATTTTTGAAGGATTCCAAAAGTGAAGATGACCAGTTTTACCATCAACTAAACCTTTCTATGGTTAGGGAAGAGTGGGATATGACAGAGTGTATTTTGGAGCAGCAGAAGAGACAGTCACTGTGGCAGTCATTGCAAGGAAATGCACCAACGAAAATCTTCTAGTTCATCCTCGTTTATTTCTTCCAGTAAGGTTGTTACACTGGATGCCACTGACGACAAGGTCGAATTCACCAAAACTACTCATCAATTGCTCTAACTGATCACCATTCAGTTCTTGCACATCTGTTTTCAAAGGTATGCCAAGACAGTAGAAGGCAACCTTTGCATGATCCCAGAGAAAAGAGACATGACATGGAAACCTAGAAGCATTTCCACCTCATTAGGTTTAAGTGGAACAACTTTATTCCTTCTAACCCATACTAGATTCCATTTTCGGCACTCATCAAGAACATACTTTTGGACACTCGAAGGTGACTCATCGTCATAAGCTTCAAGAGCCTTACGGATCCTTTCTGTCAATTTGGTACTTCCTGTACATGTTTGTAAACAGTTCAACTTTGTGACGCATTGAGGAAGCGGAATAAGAAGAAATCTGCTCTCAATTGGCAAATTATGAACATAGCCCCTTTTCAGTACAGCAGCATTGAAAATACTTTGAATCTACAAATTCTGGCTCTACATCAATACTATGACATTTCAGTCCAAACACCAACTGGATCAAGTGACACTTTCTCGTAGTAGAAATAAGGAAGCCCAATATCATCTTCTGGAAGTGTTCTTTGAGTTATCTGATCTGGTTTGATAAGAACCCTAAAACCAATCATTGGATTAGGAAGATGAACTGCATGATCGTCTTCATTAAGAAGCTTCTTTTCAAGCTTCTTATGATTCTTCCTTTTCAAAAATCATAGCCCAAGTTTCGTCTTTTCTTGTAATTGGGATCATTGCATAATGGCTTCCTATCTTATCCTGAAAGAAGTGCGTCAGCAGCCTTAGCCATTTGAGCAGCACATATAAAATCTGTCAACTCTGTAATTGATGAATCTGGACCACATCTCTCCATGGCTATTGAAGCCTCAGCCTCTGGGAATTTCATTTTTATCAAGTATAACAGTTTACTCTCCTCATCAGAATCAGAATTCAAGATTTCCTTGGTATCAGAAAGAACTATCAATATCTGTGAAATCATCCTGAAAGATCACTTCATAATCAGATGAGTTGTTATCAGAATCAACATGTTGCATGGGTGTGGATTTTTCAAGAGCCTGTACCACTGTATATGTAGTCTTGCTATTGCAACAAATTACTGTTCATATAAATTGGTTTCTCTCCCACAGAAAAGTATATTTTAGAGACAACCTTCACTGAAAGCTGATAAACCATTGTGTCAGCCTGAAATGGATTACCAAGCTATTTTTACTGCTCTGTCTGACTAGACCCCTCCAGATACAGAAAATGGTCACCTCATTTCAGACGTTTCTGTCAGAATGATTGAGTACTTCTTAAATTTGTGATAATATGAAGAGAATTCTTCCAGTTACCAGACAACACTTCTGTTTAGTGACACCAGAATGAGAGTATTCAAGATAAACAGATTTGGGGCATGAATAAAGCCACAAGTACCTACAACAGTTCATTGCCAAAATTGAACCTTGTGGGGATCATGACATTTCAGTCATACAAACATTGAGAGTGAATCAGACAAATCTAGAGGGACATCTTGAGGGCTTATTTCCACCAGAAATAGAATATTGGGGCATTTTGAAGGCTCACAACAATATGAATATTTGGGCATTCTTGGAGGCTCATCTCAACAAGAAGTAATGTTGAGCATACTTTTAGCATCTGTATCAGCAAATGTTGGGGCATTTTAAAGGTTCCTTCAGACAGATCCATGTGGGGCATTTTGAAGGCTCAGATTAACAATCAGCAAATGTTGGGGCATGCTGAAAGCCCCTTTCAATCAGAATCAGAACTGTTGATGCATTTTGAACAATTGTATTAGCCAATGTTGGGGCATGCTGAAGGCCCACAACATCATGTGTCAAGATCATTGACTTGAACAAATATTTCCAATGAGACAAAAATATGTGAAGAATGAAAATGGTGAAACAGTGATAGTCGAGCTGACTATACATAATTGCTTCGTTCATCAAGCAGTTATATTATGATCATGTTGTTGAACGAATATCTACTCACCAAGTATGGTTTCAAATACCCCAATCTTCTTAAACCATGTGTCACATGACAGTGTGTTCTTTGATAAACTACATCATGATTGCATGGATAAAGATGGTCCCCAGGCAGACTACTCGATCCAGAGTTCAGTTCCTCAAAATCTCGGCTTTAAATTTTGCATTCTGTGTGTCGGTGATGATTGGAAATATTTCTTTGAGATTCCTGTCAGTTAGTTTCAACCATACTGTTGAGGTTACGAAGCTGTTTTTCACATCAGTTTTGTTTATTTGATGACAGTGAAGAGAGAAACTCATGTATATTGCTCTTTCCCGGTGTTACTGGGGTTATTATTGCCAGCTAAACTGAACCGAGTTTTTATCTATTTGGTTTATCATGTGCGTTTCATCCCCAACATCAAGAATTCTACAGATATCTTTCCATACATGGCTCTTATAGTGGGTGTGTTTCTAATTCCTACAACGCTCATTACAGAAGAAAATGTGATCAATATCACACTTACCTTTGCCCGAGATGATATCAAGATCAGTTGGTGTCTCTTATTCAATTCAGCACTAGCATATCTTGTGGATTTGACTAACTTTTTGGTCATACCAACATCACACTTGAATCCCCATGGAGTTTTGTTCTCAAATGGTCTAGTGACATCATACAAAAACTTTGAACACTAGACAATGAGTTTCAATGATTGAGAAACCTTGGCATAAGCCACAGGAAAGGATGAATATGTTTTCAAATGTTTTACATCTGAGCAGAAACCACATGAGATGAAGAATGTGTTGTCAAATGTTTTACGAACCAGTGATTATGGTGTTGAACCAATGTTGTTATCCTATGGTTTTCATTTATTGACCCAAGATGAATTTTGTCTTATTCAACCCCCAAGATTAGAAGTGAGATATGATGAAGATTTCTTTCCACAGAAGGGAAGCAGAAATTTTAACAACAAGAAACTAGAGCCGACTAAGGTTGAATGACAGATTGTTGTTAAGCATCTCGGCATGATATGATCCAAGTTTCCTTGTTCAAGAACCATTTAAATGTAGGGACATGAAAGGAATTGAGATAAATTCTCCTTATGATGTGTTTCAAGAGTCAAATCAGAACAGACTCTACTCCCCTAATTAATCCCTGCTGAGTCAGGCATATTTACGTCTACACTCTTCAAAGATGATAGAATCCATTTTTAAAGATGACAAATTCTCTTTTCAAAGATGAAAGCTTTATCGGATTTCTGCACAACTCCAAGCAAAGAAAGTTGGTTTTATCCAAGACAAAATGGGGCATCAAGGTCATAGTTATGACTACGACAAGAGTTCCACAAATGAAACAATTCTTCTGAGACTTTCATGAAGCAAAGAATACATAAAGATACAAGTTGATTATATGGTTCTTCAGAAATGCAAGCTTGATAGCATAAGTTGCTACACTGATATCCAAGGGTAACCTTGGAAATAAATGATGAAGTGGAGGAAAACCAAGTTCACCACTTTGAAGTCAAATGAAGATTGCATCAACATTCATGCATCATATTTAGACATTTGCAAAATAGGAACATTTTCATTCATTTTATCCATATTGAATATTTGACAGGAATTTCAAAGATTTTAGCAAAGATTCAAATCCATCATTCGATGGATCAACATTTCCGGAAGAGTTCATAATGAGAAGAACTCATCTGAAGAAAGAAGAAGAAGTTCATAATGAGAAGAACTTATTCAACTTTTCGCTTGAATTCATCATTCGATGGATCAACATTTCCAGGTAGAGTTCATAATGAGAAGAACTCATCTGAAGAAGAAGAAGTTCATAATGAGAAGAACTTGTTCAACTTTCTGCTTGAATTCATCATTCGATGGATCAGCATTTCCAGAGAAAGTTCATAATGAGAAGAACCTATCTGAAGAGGAAGAAGAAATTCATAATGAGAAGAATTTGTTTAACCTTTTGCCTGAATTCATCACTTGATGGATTAACTTTTCCAGAGAAAGTTCATAATGAGAAGAACTCATATGAAGAAGGAAGAAGAAGTTCATAATGAGAAGTGCTTGTTCAACCTTTTTTTGATGCTATCACAGAAGGAAATAGATCAGTATCAGCATTTCCAGAAGAAGTTCATAATGAGAAGAGCTTGTTCAACCTTTTGCTCAAATTCATCACCCGATGGATCAGCGTTGCCAGAGAAAGTTCATAATGAGAAGAATTTATCTGAAGAAGAAGAAGAAGTTCATAATGAGAAGAGCTTGTTCAACCTTTTGCATAACTCTATCACAGAAGGAGATAGATCAACACCAACTTTTCCAGAGAAAGTTCATAATGAGAAGAACTTATCTGAAGAGGAAAAGAAAATTCATAATGAGAAGAACTTGTTCAACCTTGCATTGATTCATCTCCTATGAAATTGAATGAAAGAAGAACCTCATTTGAGGATCAATATTTTCAGAGGAAATTCATAATGAGAAGAACTCATCTGAAGAATGAAGAAGAAGTTCATAATGAGAAGAACTTGTTCAACCTTTTGCTCAAATTCATCACCCGATGGATCAGCGTTGCCAGAGAAAGTTCATAATGAGAAGAACTCATATGAAAAAGAAGAAGAATTTGTTCAACTTTTTGCTCAATTACATCATAGAAGAAGATAAATTGTCATCCCCAGTGGAAGAATGGAAGAGTTCATAATGAGAAGAACTAATCCAAACAAAGAAGAACTTGTTCAACATTTCCATTTTAATTAAGAGAAGTCAAATGAACAAAAATTTATTGTCTTTTCGTCTTTGTCCTATTCTTGTTAACACAAGAATGAGCAAAGAAGGGCAGCTGTAGACACTAAATTTTTACCCGAGCAGCCTCCTCCATCCAGCAGCCCCTCCACGCATCATTTCCAGCAGCTTCCAGCGAGCAACCCCTCCACGCTTCAGTTACAGCGGCTTCTAGCACTGCCAGGTGATCCAACGCCCTGCTGCCACGCTGAAGCCTCCAGAAGCCAGTTGCCTTGTCCATGTTGCTACCCTATGGTGAGTCACCACCATAGTTCGGTGACTCACAGAGGGCCATTCCTTTAACCAGTCCGAAGAAGACACCGGCGAGGCCTATAAATGGCCATCTCCTGCAGAGAAGAAAAGGAGCAGAGAGACAAACACAGAGGAGGACGGAGGAACAAAGGAGAACCATACCCAACACAGCAGAAAAAGGGGAAACAAACAGCAACCACCCAACAACCAAATATCGAAAGAAAAGAGAAGAGAGAAACTTACCGAGGAAACTGCAGTAATCGGAGCCTCCTCGCGCCGTCGGAAAGCCGAAAATCAAAGGTAAAAAAACCTTAGATCTAGGTCGATCTAAGGGGATTTAGGGTAAAAGGAGGCCGGATTTGGCCTTTAGGAGTTGAAATCTTTAATTTGGTGTAGTTTGGTAATCTTCAGCCACCGGAAACGGTGGCCGACGGCGGTGATCGGTGCCGGAATGTGGCAGCCGGCCTTCCTCCGGTTGGAGAATTTAGAGAGAAGGCAGAGCTTTTCTCTCTAAAAAGAGAGAAGCCAAGCCAGAAAATAAAACAAATGGCCCTCTAGGGCCGGTTAAAGGGTATTAATACCCTCATCAAAACGACACCATTTTGATAAGGGATGATTGTGCAATTTCACACATGATAAAACCCTTTCCGCTACCCTTGTAACTTTGTAACATTACATTTTAGTCACTTTAATCAAGTCTAGAACCTTTTAATTTAGACTCTTAATTTTAATTAAATTATAATTTGGTCATATTCATGAAATATAAATATTTTAGGAAAAATAACAGATTTAGACCTTTAATTTTAATAATTCATATATTAATCCCGGTTATTTTAATTTGATATTCAAATTTAATATAATTTTAATTTAGTCACTATATTAATAATAAGGTAAAATACCATATTTAGTCCTTTTAATTATTAATATATTTTATTTTGATCTTGAATTATTAATTATTATTAAATTACATTAAATATACATATATTTAATAATAATTTAAAATTACATTAGGATAAAGACGTTTACTGGTCTATTATGACCATAATTTCCTTCTACCTAATGTAAAATAATATAATAAATTGTTTTTTAGTCTTTCTCCTTAATCAATGGCATCAATCATTGTGAAGAATCTCTATGTAAAATTTAATATTAAAAATCAAAATTTTCTTGTAACCGGTTGTAAAAAAAAAAAAAGAAATATGAACATTTGTTACTATTATAAGTATGACAATATTTTTTTGATAAATTATATTTTAATGTGAATTATTATCTATAGTTAATTTACGCTAATAATATCTAGATTTTATTATTTTTAATTTAATCATATAGTTTTAATTTTTTATCACTGTTTTATTTTATTTAATTTTATCATTAACTTTTTAATTTCAATATGTTTAAATTAGTACTTTAATTATTATTATTTTATTTTAGTCATATATATATTTGATTAGATAATAATATTTGTTTATTTTAAATATCAAGAAATTGATAATCTTAAGGTAATTAGATGTCCTTTTTGATATTTTTAATAAAATATTATATTTAATTCACTCTTAGTTAATCATATGTTTAGAAAAAAATTATTATATTCTTATTAATATTTATTTATTAATATTAAAGAAATGAGCAGTCTCTTAAGGTAATTAGATGTCCTTTTGATATTTTTAATAAAATATTATATTTAATTCACTCTTAGTTAATCATATGTTTAGAAAAAAATTATTATATTCTTATTAATATTTATTTATTAATATTAAAGAAAGGAGCAGTCTTAAAGTAACTAGATGCCCTTTTCTGATATTTCTAAATAAATAAATATTTTATTTATAAAACCCTAAAAATATACATTTTTACTTTATAAAAATTATTTTTCTTAAAATTATAAATTTGAAATAATAAGATTATAAATTAACCATATTTTTGAATTTTTAAATATCTAATAATAGAGACAATTTATAATTAATAAGTACCAATTTTGGGCGTTGTGGGGGTGCTAATCCTTCCCTAAACGTAACCGACCACGAATCCTTTTTTTTATTAAAAAGAACGAATTTTTGGTTAAAACGCAGATCAGTTTATCTTTTAATCGATGTTTTCTTAAAAACTCTTTTAAAGGATGATTTTTAGGTATTTGACCTACCTAACCCCAAAAGGTCAATGGCGACTCCTAAAAACATTTTTTCAAAATTATTTTTATCCCCGCCAAGTAAAAATTCGTGCCCGGACAAAAACCGGTTACGACAAGAGCCTAACTCATTTGAAGGTTTAATCGCCTCTTGAGTCGATTCGGGAAGAGTTATATCGATAATCAAAGTCATCAATGGCCTCCGCTTCAAACTTCGACTTCGGTCTCGATTCGATGCCCGTCAACAAGCCTCATTTCTTCAATGGGGCTAACTATGCCTATTGGAAGAATAGAATGATGTATTTCATTCAAGCAAGTGACATGGGAGCATGGAATGTCGTAGTAGAAGGATACATCAAGCCTCTCACTCATCCAAGATTGTGGAGTAAAGGAGAAACAAAAATGTTCCAGCTCAACTCCAAAGCCATCCATATCATTTTTTGTGCTCTTGGACCAGAAAAATATGGAAGAGTTTCTTCCTGTACAACCGCCAAAGAAATATGGGACAAACTTCAAGTCACTCATGAAGGTACCGATGAGGTAAAGAAATCTAAAATTAGTATTCTAACGCATAGCTATGAAAATTTCAGGAAGAAACCAAATGAAGATATCAAAGCTATGACGGATAGATTTTCAACGATTGTCAATGGTCTCAAATCATATGGAGAGATCATTTCAAATGAAAAGCTTGTGAGGAAGTTAGTCTACTCCCTCCCAAAATCATGGCAATCAAAGAAGACGACAATCATCGAGTCTAAGGACCTAACATCCTTAACTCTTGAAGAGCTAATCGGTTCACTTCTCACCCATTAAATGATGCTTGAAGATGAGGTGGACCTTGATAAGATTGAAGAGACACCAAAGGAGAAGGAGAAGAAGAAAAACATTGGAGTTGCTCTCAAATCCACAAAAGATGAGAGTGATTCGGATGAAGATGACGATGACGAGGAAATGGCATTGTTTGCCAAACGGTTCAGAAAAATGATGAGACCTTACCGAGGAAGAAAATTCAAACGAAATGAAGGCCTCAAAAATGAACCAAAAGAGAATGACCCAATCATTTGCTATGAATGCAAAAAGCCAGGGCATGTCAAATATGATTGCCCACAATTGAAGAGGAATGGTCAATCAAAGAATAAGCACAAGGCTCATGTGGCTACATGGAGCGATGAAGAAGGTTCCGATGAAGAGGAACAAGAAGTAGCAAACTTGTGCTTGATGGCATTTGGGGAAGATTCTAA